AATTCCCAATTCATGGACAACAAATCTAACTTCCTACCCTGTTCTGAAAAATTCATATATCAAACAAGTACGACCACATATCTCCTCCTCATGTTCACTCAAATGGCCCTTACTCCGGAAAACTGTCCAACCACGGGATCTACTACCCCTTTGGTACTTCATAATCCTTCCACCCCTATTACCCTCCCTATAAGCATTGAGCACCTTGGCATGTGCCCCATAACCCTACCCCTGAAACTTTCCTCCAACCCCGAATACACCCCTCAATCAAGCCTCTCAAATTGGAATCTCATACGTTTATATGGATAAAACTGATGTTTCGAATGAAGCACCAATTCGTGCAAAAGGCACTTGCTGTAAAAGAATGATATCACTTCTTTAAATGCTTACACTGTACTCACACTCTCAGGAGCTATTCAAGCATAATTTTGATATTTGTAATTCATGACAACCTAATTATGAAGGTCTCCCACCTCAAATAGGAGGGGTCTTTTGCTGCTGAGTAAAGACAATGTTCACTAAAATTGATGACGCTTTTCTCTGGTGTTCGAAAACTATGCATTGGGCTGATTCTTTACTTAACATCGAAATTGTTCATATTTCAGCATTTTATCAAGAAAATCATTACATGCATACTTTGTGATATCGCTTCAACTGCAACAGAATTCTATAAGCCAAGTACTCAAAGAGGTGGCATATCCATTTTATATAGCAGAGAGGATCATACCATGACCTTTCAAGATCCAGATCTTGCTTCCCAGTGACGCTCTCACCTGAGCATATCCCCAGTGCCGAATCACGAAGGATCCACCAATCTGCGACGGAGTCAGCCCCTTCTTCGCAAACTTGCAGATGTTCTCCTCAACCTGACAATCCAAAACACATCAAATCGCAAACTATCATCACTCAACAATCCAATATCTTAAAAAAAACTCACATCTTGGGACGAGATCTTGAGCCAGCTCGGTGGAGTCCTCTTGTAGGGAAGCGCCGACGAGGAGATACCCTTTCTGCGGAGATTTAAAGACAAAAACGAATGAAGAGATTTTAGCGAAACGATTGAGAGATGAACAATGGTAAGAGTAGAGGGTCAGAGAGGATACCCGTGGCTGTGCATACGACCCATGGTTGCAGCGCGGCGGCGGCGGGCGGCGGGCGGAGGAATTTAGCGATGTTTCTTACCTTTCTCTGTCGCCGGCGGTTTCGAGTGAAGAAGAACGCTTGCTAGGGTTTTGATGCACTTATATATGCAATAGAGAGCTAAATACCGAAAATGTCCTTAGTTGGCGGCTAATGGGCATGATTGGGTTCGATCACTTACGGGATAGGCTCGAGCTCGTTAGAGCGGATCGAGGGTCACAAAATTATCACGAGTCACTGCTCTCGTAGACTATCAGCATCTCCAACACAAAATGGTATAGTTTTTATATTAAGTTGATGTACTTTTTATACTAAATTACTATTCTATCTTTAATACATTACAGAAAATTTTACACTAAAAAAAATATTCTTTTTATTATTCTTATTTTTTAACATTTTTATCTATTTAAAATATTTAATAAATTTTTTTATTTTAATAATTTACACCAAATTTTACAAAAAAAAGAAGTTTATTTTAATAATTATTTTATATTATAATTTCATTATAAAAGTTAAAAATAAAAAAATTAAATGGAATAAACTGAGGTTAATGAATTATATAATAAGATATAATAGATATTTTTAATTTGTTATCACATAGTTTAAGGGTAAAATCAGAATAACAAAAAAACTCTAAAGCTACAGGGTTGCGCCATTCCTAGCGCAATAATGTAGCACCTCATCAATTTAACGCGCGATTTAGCAACTAGTTGGAGGGAGTTTTTTGCGCTAAAATAGGTGCGCTAAATTGCAGCTCCGTTGAAGATGACCTTGGCACTAGCAGCGAATTGCAGAGAGGTGCAAGAAAAAAAAAACCCCAAATGTGAGTGCATCCCGAAAAATTACGGCAATAATCAGGGAAAAAGACCTTATTTAGAGTTAATTTCAAGCTGGATGCATTTCTATTTTTGCGTCTTGAATTTTTAAAGTGAAAGTACATCTATTTTCCTACTTTTGTTTTGTATACTTTTGTTTCTATCTTTTTTACGTACTTAGAATTCTTCGTATCCATGTGAGGAATTTTACGATATTCCTTTGTTTCTCTAGCTTTGGCTAGTATGTATAAGTTTGTTTTCCTCCAATATTGTTATGAACAAAATAGATTCCTGGGCGCCATAGGTTGTCATGTTATATGCAAAAATGAGTTTGGCGCCATAGGTTGTCATGTTATATGCAAAAATGAGTTTCTCAGCCGTTGGAAGATGTGAAAAGTAATTTCATTCATTTATTATAGAAAGAGCATGCAAAAATGAGTTTCTCAGCCGTTGGAAGATGTGAAAAGTAATTTCATTCATTTATTATAGAAAGAGCGTGTTTGACAACTAGTCAAAGTGTGACTTATAAGCCACTGAGATATTGTCACGCCCTAATTCCAAAATGTAATAGTTTGGAACGTGACTCGACCGGCAATGCCACCATATGGTCACATTCATGCCTCTAGAACCTCCTGTATACAGATATATTGCCAAAAGAACTACTATATAGAGCATGTAACTAAGATAACAAAGAAATTAGATAGATAAGGAAATATCTAAAAATTTCAGAGTTCTATGACAAGTCCACAACTATCCAAACAGAAAGGAAAAATACACCATAGTCTAGAGAGCCACACGTGGCTAAAGAAAAGCCTAAACCAAATAACTACTTAAATCAACTGAACTAGAGAACTGATAAAAAGAACAGTGATCACTGCCGATGAGCCTGCCCCTCGAAATACTCTCGGTCCTGCGAAGAAAGAACGGTTCCCGAATCTGGGGCACGCAAACCCCAGGGGAGTCAGAAAACTCCCAACAAGCATGTAAAATGAAAAAATTGTGCGCGTGTAAGTGTAAGTGGCATATAAAGAAAAGATAAATTCTAAATTTATAGTGATAAAAGAAAAGGCTAAATCATAGAGATAAAAATAATGTCCGTCACCAACACACAAGTGTATTATTATTATTTTAGATGTTATTTGAATTAGAGAAGAATATTTTCATGTATATTAATCGGTTCCCCGTAAATCGTCCCGGGAACACGGCTTCAAGTTAGGTATTGGCCTTTTGGCCATTGTATATATATAACTCAGGATATCAGGAATGCGCAAGTGTCCGTTTATATATATATATATATATAATTATATTCTCCATCTAATTCCCCTTTTATAAACCCCATGATGTCTGTTTAATCTAAGTGATTGTGCATGAAATGTTGTGCACTAACCACAGAGTTACCGCGGAACGGCTTCCGTAAAACTATGAATGATAACCGTGACCTAGAACATGTCCAATCAAGAGGGGTGCATCGTCTAGTCGATGCTATAATAGTAATAGCCAAGGAAAAATCTCATATCGGAATATCGATATCGAAAGCATAGCCATGCTATGAAAGCACGCTTATAAATCATATTTTTGATGGAAGTCGTCTTCATGCACAGTCTAGCCTATTTGATGACTTTACTGATTAACACTGATTACAACCACACAATATATTTCAAAGTATAACAAGGTACACAAAATGAGCTGACAAGTTCACTAAAATAAATATAAGTTAAAAAAATTGGTAAGGGAACTAATATTTTTAAATGACAAAAAGAGAGAATTTGATAAATAATCACCTAATCCCTAAACAAAAACATTAATTCTAACCTTGAACCAAAAACATTAATCCTAACCCTGAACCAAAACCGGCATAATTCCCACTTCTGTTGGTATGCAAAACATCAAATCCTTCTCATAAGATAACAACTCTTATAAAAAGTCAAGGCCCACAGATGCTCAGGCCCAATACAAAAAAAATATTTATTTTGTGATAGCTACGGGATTTGAACACTGAACCTACAAGTTACCATCTAAACATGCTAACCACTACAACTTCTTTGCTAATATGATTAGGGCAAGGAAAAAGAATATATACGTAGGCTGTAAAAATTGCCTTAACAACAAAAAACCTAAAGTCCGTCTGCACATTAAACTCGCCAGCACGAGTCAAGCCTACCCAAGAGTTGAGTTCGCCAGAGCAAGCGAAGCTCGCTCGCATACTTAACTCGCCAGCACGAATAAAGTCCATGCGGTTGCTAAGGTCGCCTAAGCATCCAGGCAATCCGTCAAGTGATCAGAAACTCACCCGCACACTAAACTCGCCTGCACGAGTCAAGTTTTCTAAAGGGCTGAAGTCGCCTGCATGTCCAGGCAATCGGTCATGTGAACAACAAGTACGCTAGACTAACTAGAGTACTAGGCGGCTGCACTGTCACGTACAGGGATGGACCTTCCCATTCCCCACGACGTGAAGGGAAAGAGTACTCTAAGCCCATCAAGTGGCCGCTCACGGTACAAGTGACCGGTCAGTTCCACGCAGTCACCAAACTCGCCTGCATACTTAACTCGCCTGCACGAGTTAAGTTCATTTCGCCGCCAAGTTCGCCTGCGTACTTGATTCACATGCACGAATTAAGTTCGTCCAAGTGACTGAGAGTCGCCCGCACGTTCAAGCAACCAGCCAGGCGATCAACGAATTCGTCGAACCCGGATGTGCCTTCCCATTCCCCACGACATGAAGGGAAGGAGCACAGTACTCCGAACCCATCAAGCAGCTGCTCACAGTATAAGTGAGAGGCATTGTATCCCTCAATAGTACATGGTCACATCCCATGATTCAAGGGAGTGACCATGTCATCCCTTCTCTATTTAAAAGCCTCTCCCGGCCACGGGAAAGAGGTTGGCGGTTGGCAATCCGTTAATCACAGTTAATTGATTGATTCAGTCGGCCGATCCAGAGGTTCTCAACTCTCAAGCAAGTTGAAGACCCGTTCTTTGCATTATTCTTGCACTAGAGTATCCCCTTCCAGCCTTCGGCCCCAATCGACATTAGGCTCAGAAACTCGAACTCGACTAACACGAGCCTCTACTGCGTATTGAAGCTCACCTACAACCTCGATTGAATCGTCCAAGGGAAGCAGACTCAGTGTGAGAACCGAGCGAGGCGTCCTATCGCTACCAAAGTCCCCACGTTAAACAAGGAGGGCATTCCCTCCGCTTCTGTTGTAATTTTTCTGATCCATTAGTTTGTAATAAGCTAATCTTATCAATACGAACGAGATCCCTGTTTCGGGAAATTAGATTTTTACACCTACAGAAGATGGCGACCACAGTGGGAGAAACTATTTCCTCAGCCGAAATGGTGGTAGCGCAGTTCGACGAAGTTACTGTAGGGACAACCGTGGAGTCCCTCGAAATCGAGTTCGACCAAGCCAAGTACGAAGAGTACTTGTCCGCCTCCTCCTCTGGTGGTAATGCGTCCTGCAAACGCCACAGAGTCGTGCGTAGAAGCCGACCCCAAACTGTCGAAGCCTCCACGCTTGAGGGCTTTATCCGAGTCATGGCAAGGGAACCTCTTCCCTCCAGATCAACCAAGGCCGAGCCGAAAGCCGAAAACACAGGGCGAAAGACCGCCAAATGGGTCGCCAAACGACCCCCGCAGACCCCAGCTCGGGAAGAGATGGTGGTTCGCCTTAGCATAGACCACGCCATCACGATTCACACGGATGTTCATGTCTCTAGAAGAGCCCGCCAGCGACGATGACGGGCCCTCGCCTAGCAGGAGGCCCAAACCTTCGCCTCATATGACAACCTGAATTATTATTCAGATCTTAAAAATGCAAAACGGAGAAACAACCCTCCCAACGCTGACGGGCTCACCAAATCAGGGGAACCCTCGTGTTCAGGCAGACTTCGCTTTGATCATAATATCCCCCATTTCGGCGGGTCCGGTATTTCTGACAAGCTTGGCCGCCTAGGCGAACAGATCAAAACGGGCAAGCCCGCCAACTTAAGTAGACTTCGTTTCTCAGGTCACATCCCTGATAGAAGCAGATTGCCTAGATTAGGCGAGCCTACCCGAGCAGGCGAGCCCTCGGAATCAGGCGAAATCCACCTGACGGTTAAGCATCGCGAACGAACGAGCCTTAACAACAAAGGTCGGCGTAGAAACCCGAACCTGGAAAGAACTCGTTCGCCAGGACGAACAGGTTGAGAA